TTTTCTGAAAGGGATAGGGTGGTACAGAGTTTTAAATTTTTCTCAAGGTTACCAGTTTCTCAAGGTTACCTTTTCTCAAGGTTATAAGGAATGGAGTCAGGACTCCAGTTCAGGTTGGAAATCGTTGAGATTTTCAATAGCCAATCCTGGTTCCCATGGTCTAGAGCCTGAGAATAAGGCTTAACACAGCGAAGCAAGAACTTGAGGACCAAGAGATATGGTCAAAAATGAGCTAGCCCTTCAGCGTCAAAGACTGGACCATATCCGTGCTCTGTAACTGGATGAACCTCAGAAGGAACAGAAATATTAATTAGAGACAAACTGGTCATTGGTGGTTAAAAAACAAACAAGAAACAAACAAATAAAAACAGCCTCCTCCCACTGGAGGATTTAGAGGATAATTAGCCAGAACTTGGGGGAGTTGAAATGTCCTCAACAGAAGTTAAGTTCAAGTCAACAAACAAACACTGAGTTGCTAGGCTGCCGTGGGGGCCACCCTGAGGACAGAGATCAGCCTTACATAGGCAGAGACTGAGGGCTGTCCTGGGGGTGCTGTCACCATCTTGTTGGGACTGTTGTCCTAGGTCTTAGGGAGAGCTTGGGAAATTGTTTTTAGAAAAATAGATTTAGATATAAGGAGAAGGGGAAACTGAGATGGCCTACATTTCTGCAACAGCTTCCTTTGGTTGCTTCCTCTCTCTCTCCCATTGCTCTCCCCACTGACCCCCCCATTGTTAATTCACCTGCATCTCTTTGCCGTGGGGGCAATTCCTGTCTTCAGGGCACCCATATGGCCATGACAAGCATTTTTCGCAGTGCCATGCAGGAAAGGCCCAGGAAATGTTCCATCCCAGTTATATGCAGTGTTTTCTCAAGGTCACTGGAAGCAAAGAAAAACATGTTTAAATTTTCATTTTAAACTTCTTCCTTGTTTATTTGAGGAATCTATAAGATGTCTGAAATATACACCATGGCACTTTAGGCCACTATAGTCTATAAAGATACGTGGGCACATGTCCCTTGCTTGCCTCTGTAGTCTCCTCTCTCAGCACTTTGCTCTGACTGTATGTTTACTCATCTCCCCCACTTGACTCTAAGTACTGAGCTCAGTCAGGGTGGGGGCAGGGCTTTGCTCACTGTAGGAACCGAAGAACCTACAACTATCCGAGGTGCATGAAAGAAGGAGTTCAGTGTAGACTTGGGCTTTGCACCAGCAAGGAGTGTCAGTAATGAAGATCAGAACTAGAGTAGAAACATTTGCTTATTACAAAAATAATGAAGGCAGAGGCCCAGCTATTTACCACCCCCATGGTAATGCCAGAAATTTCAATTGTGGGCCTGAAACCATCACCCAGAGACTGATCTTTTTTCCTGCCTAACAAAATGCTTTGCACAAAAGACATTGACTTCTTAAAGCTCTATAGCAATACATTTACATATTGAGAAAGTCTCAAAGCTGTAGTTTAAATAAACTAAAGTTAACAAAAGGGTTTACTGGTTTCAGAGGTTTGCAGTTGTCATATATAAGAAGATTGAGTGCTTACTGCATGTCGAGTGTACTTCAGAATGCTTCACATGTGTCAATTCCACCCAAAGCAGGAGTTACTCTTATCATTTCCAGTTTTATAGATGAGGTATAAAGATATGAAGAGATTATGTCCAAAGTTATACAGCTGCTAGTAAAGCATAGGGCCTGAATTTAAATCTAAGTAAAGTTTCAGAGCCTGTACAGTCACTTACCAGTCAGGGATCTCATCAGCCTTCCTGCTCCAGCAGGAAGTTCATCCAGAGTTGTTCCTACTGGATGAGATGAAGTACAAACTCCATACCATGGCATCCTAGGCTTTCCACTGCTGCCTCCAACTTGGCTCTCCTGCTTTGAACCAGAATCGCCCTAAGGCCCCTCTGCTACTCCCACCAGATTCCGCCCCCTTCCCTGCAAAATGCTGCAAACCTTCACGCCTTGCTACCTTGCCACTGTGGTACCTGGCAAACTCCAACTTTAATGTTTCTTCTTTCCCCTCTTCTTCTCCTCCAGGAAGAAACTCCACCCCTTCGCCACATTCCCACGATGACGGGTGACCTGCACATACCTCTGTCGCATCTTCACCACGTTGCTCTGAAATTCCCGCTGTGTGTGTCTGTCTGCCTCATTAGACTGTGGGCTTCTCGAGGAAAGAGATGGGGCCTGGCCTTGGGGCCGCCTCATCAGGGAGGCAGATTTGCTGAAACACCAGTTCTAACAACCGAAAACTGAAAAGTAGTTTATGTCTGTTCTAAGTCTGGCAAATAATGGTGAAGAGACAATCCCACCTGCAACACAGCATACCTGTTTGAGATATGCGCTTGCTATCTTTCACCCCTATGGCACTTGTCCCCCAAATCTTTCTCCTCTCTCTCTAAGCTCTCATGGAGAAGCTCTCATGTTCTGGTCTTGCCTCTCTTGCTTCACATACAGCCTCTCCCCTTCTGGGTCTTCTCTCTCACTCAGGCCAGCAACTTTAGGTCCCTTCCTGTATGGATCCAGCCAGCCTGTCCAGCTCCCCCCCTCGACACCACATAGTCCAGGTGCACAGAAGGGCTGGGAGTCACCCCCACCTTTGTGTCCTCACCTCTTAACTCAGAGCCTGGTTCAGGATTATTGGTGCTCCTGAGAGTGACCCACCTTCCCCCTCCTGCTCCCTCACTTTGGGGAAAAGCCCAAATTTGTTGAAAGCCTTCCACAAATTGGCCTCGACATCCCTTCCCCTCTCTGACCTGAGCGCTGGGCTTCAAACAAGTGACCCCCCAAGGCTGCATTTTTCTGCCTCCTTCCCTGCTTCTGCTCAGCCCACTGCTCCCTGCATGTGCACCTGGGCCTTCAGCACCTAAGCGGTTCCAAACCCTCCCCTCTGTCAGTCCCACTGTGCCTGGACATCATCGTCCCCCACCTCCTGTCCCTGGGATCGCCGCTGGCTGCAGGACCATTCTTGTCTTGTCTTGCGATGCTGCCTGAATCAAGGCCAGGGACTGGCTTTCTCCTTAGGGTCTCAACCTGATTTCTTGACTTGCTTTATCGCCTCAATTAGACTGCAAGTTTCTTGAAACAAACCAAAACACAACGAATTTAATGAAAGAGCCAGATTAAATCATAACCTCCAACAAGGTATTACTATATTTCAACGCATCTTAGGTACATTATGAGACACATCTGACTTCTGAGAAGTTAACATATGAAAGAATGCGTCTTAGATGAAATGTGGTGTCATTTCTATCCTACAGATGCACCCTGAGATTTAACACTTTTCCAGACACACTGGCCAACTTGCCGTGCCTTGAACGCAGCAGGCACGCTCTGCCCCAGGGCTTTCACCCTCGCTGTTCCCTTTATCTGGAATGCTCTTCCTGCAAGCCTTGTTCTCTCATCTCCTTCAGGTCTTTGCTCCATGTCACCTTCTCAGTGAGGCTTTTCTTCACCGTATTCAACACGGCAACACCCCTCCTCGCGTTTCATTCTTTTACTCTGATTTTACTCCACAGCATTTATCACTGTCTGATATTCTATTACTTATCTGTTTAGGCCACTAGAATGTCGGCTGCAGGAGGGCAGGGCTTTTGTTCATGGCTCTTGTCCCAGTGTTTAGAACAGGGCCTGGCATGTAACAGGCGGTCAATAAATACTGTTGAATGAACAGAGTTTGAGCTTCTCCAGGTCAGGGATGTGTGTTTTTACTCACTTCTCGTATCCCCAGTGCCTAGCATAGTAGCTGGCAAACAGTGGGCGCTTAATATTAAATGATTGAAGGACATATGGACTCCTATGACCTAGGTTACTTGCTAACGGCCATCAAGCCTGGCAAGGGGAAGAGCGGGAGACCCATTCAGCTCACCCCAGGGGGGGGGGCCTTTAGTCCCACTGGGTAGTGACTGCTTAACTCTCTTGTTTGCAGGGAGGGCCTTTTTTGAAAAAACTCCCCCGTCTCGGGTCTTCCCAAAGCGCAGTGCACTGGTGTGCACGTAGTATGGCTGCAACACATATTTATAAGGTGTTTTTAATCCAGCGTTTTGTCGCAACCAGGCCACAGCCGCTTCAGTTCCTCAGCTCCTCAGAGGTAACGGCGTGCGAGTGTTCGCTGGCCCCTCAGAGAAGTAGTGCACAAACAGCACAAAGCGCGCCCGCCCATCCACAAAGAGCTTTTCCAAATCCAGGCTGAAGCGCTCTCTGGCCGCGTCGGCACGGTGACCGAGACCGTTTGCCCCCCTTCTCGGGCCAGACGACCTCTCCCGCCGACCTTCCCTCCTCCAGGTGGGGGAGGAGGTGGGAGAGACAGGGGGAGGGAAGCCCCCAGGCGCATCGCCGGGGCGCGGGAGCGGCCGGGAGGGGTCCCCCTCCTGGGTCCGGGGCCCGGCCGGGCGCGCGGGAGCGGGGGGCGCGCGGTGGCTCCGCGCGGGGATGCGCGCGCGCGCCTGCCTCGCCTCCCTCGCCCGCTCCGGTGGCTACGTGCTTTCTTTGTCAATGAGGCGCCGCTCCGAGCTGCAGTAGCACTCGCGGCCCGGGAGCCGGGGCCGGAGCCGGAGCTGGCACCCGGACCCCAGCGAGCGGGAGAACAGCGAGCCGAGCCGGGCGGAGAGGCAGCGGCGGCGGCCGGAGGAAGGGACCCGAGCGCGCCCGCGGCCGCCAGTCCCGTGCGCCGCAGCCTCGCCCCCTCGGTCTGCAGGAGCCCGCCGGGGAAGGAGCCCCGGGCGGCGCCCGTCCCGCCCTCGCTGCCCGGGACGCGCGGCGCGCGGCGACAGGCAGCGTGGGAACCCGGCCCGCGCCCGCCGCGGCTCCATGCGGCCCCGGCCCCCGCGCGGGTGAAGCCGCGGCTCCCCGGAGCCCGCCGGGCGCGGCAGGACGAGCGAGCCAGTCGCGCCGCCCGGCGCCCCCTCCCTCCGGCGCCCGGGCCATGGCCGGCGATGCCCGCTGAGGACCCGAGCGCCCTGCGGAGCGAGGCGGCGGCCTGGATGTGTGAAGCGTCCCCATGGCTCTGCAGGAGGCGAAGCCTCAGGGCCCGAGGGGAGCCGGGCCGGCGGCGCGGGGGCGCGGGGGCCGGCTCCGGGCGCGTGGGCTCGGCCGCACCGGCGCGGGAGCCGCGCGGGGCACCGGCGTGAGGGGCCCCGGGGTCGGCGGGTCCCACGACGCGTCGCCGCCGTCGCCGCCCCCGCTGCTGCTGGGACTACTGCTGCTGGCGGCCCTCCTGGAGCACGGCCGGGCCGACCCGGGTAAGCACTTGGCGGCGGCTTTGCGTCCGCAGAGGCTTCTGGAGCGGCGGGGCCGCCCGTCGGGGCGGGCACCTGACCGAGTGGCGGTGGACCGAGAGGTCTTTGCAGCACCGGCTCTGGGATTTTCTCCGCCCTTTGCTGCTGCAACGGCAGCCCAACTGTCAGAAATCTGTCTCCGGGGAAGGCACTGTTGGGCGGGGAAGGAAAAAAAGAGGTGCATTCGCATCTTCTTCTTGGACAAGTTGCAGATCTTCCTAGTGGTCCCTCAGGCACGCTTCATTAGGATAAAGACCTGGTGTGCTTAAGACACCTTAAAAGGGAAGTGTTTTATTAGGACACGTTTCAGGGTGGAGACGTCCACTATATTTTGGGCTCTCTGTTGAGTGTCCACATTGTCTTAAACTGCATGAAATGGCCAGAGAGTTTAGGTAGTTCCCATGCCAGCTTCCCAAATAGCAGTTTCCCCCATGTGTTGATAGCGGAACCCTTTTCTTTTGGAACAGAGGTGCCTAAAATAATTGCTTGCACCTTGCAAAGGGATTCAGGCACTGATCAAGTATTTAATTCACGGTTTGCAGGAGGTTATTTAAAAATAATCACGCTCAGCTCTTAGACTTCCAGCAATCCCTAGGAACTAGATTTCTGTAATACCTTGGACGATTTTGAGAAATCTGTTGTAACTCTTTGGGGGCGAGGGAGGAGGATTATTCTGCTAATGTGCTTCAAAACTTGCACTGTGCAGTCAGCAATTGTCTGGGAACTAAGAATGATTACTATGGCACTTGGAAAGGGCAGGCTTTTGTGTTTTTGATGAAATCCTGAGCTCTTAATGTGTTTAATTTATCAAGGACTATAGCTCTCACTTCAGGTAGTATGTTCCTGTAGTTTTGTGTTTTTTAGTGAGGACTGATGGGGACTTCTTCTTTCCCAGCATGTCCCCTCCCCCAAATTAGACTAAAATTCCTAATTGTGAGGAGCTAACACTGTTGTAGAGAAGAGGGTTTCAGGTTAAAAATATTTGTCTTCTAATTAAGTTAAACAGCTTAATTCATAGCCCATTTTCCTTTGCTTCACGTAAAGGGTCACTGACATGAGGTGTCTGTGTACAGATTACTGCCAAGGAATTTTCTGTTGTGATTATAATGTCTAAAAAGTTCAGTAATCTTTGGATGTGTATCTCAGGCTTGAGAAAAACCTCTGAAGAATTTTAGCCCCCAATTTTTAGTCCTGTAGCAGTTTTCAGGTGGTGTGTATTTGGCATAATGGTTAAAAGGTGAATCCTGAGTCAGACACACATAAATACCTTAGTATTACATTGGCTCAGAAACACACCTTGAGTTTTTGTTTACAGGGTCTCAAATCTTTGGTAGTTTTGTAAACTGCTATGAGATATTTATTTTTGGATGTTGTCCATTTGAGTGCAGATAATGAAAACTGTTCAACCATCTGTAATAAGTGAAACTTGGCTTTCGGGTATTGTTCCTATGCAGCCTCATGTCAGATGATTTCCTCTGATCAGTTTTGAATTTGTGACCTTTCTTCTCACCTTTGTACCCTCTGAACCTCTGTGACTTTGCTTGACTCCTCTTTCAGGCTGCCAGAGCCTGACTTAGAGGACTTCTGACCTGTATTGTTTGAGTTTAGCCCTAGTGTCTTTTTTTCTTTTATTCTTTTAGTGTGGTGGTCATGGCGACACACAGCTAGGAAAAATGCTTTGATTAAAATGATGGTAAAAATCATAAAGTTGATGGTCCTCCCCAAAGTCCTTTGTCTTTTCTCATTGGAGTTCCTTGTTGCTTCCTTTGTGCTTTTTGGGTGCCCTTTCTGTTGTCACCGTTCATGACCAGTTCCCCCCGGGGTCCAGCCCACCTGTGGATCCACAGTCTACGTCCGAGCTCTGTGGTCTCCTTTGGGTTTGCCGGTGATTCGGTTTCCTGACTTGTGTCTCTCTCAGTGGACCGGGCTCCATGTTTCACCTCCTGCCTGCTTTCCCTTGTACTCTGATTTCCCCTTGGGGCAGCTCCTCCCAGGGCAGATGAGTCCTGGGCCTAAGGCCCCACTGGGAGAAAGCAGTGGCAGAAGGGAGGGAGGAGAGTGAATGACACATTCTGGGTACCTTTGACTTTCAACAAACAACTTAATTTGGAACTTTTCCCGAGGGGCAGCGATTTGGTGCTGCCCCTCACTGCAGAATGCGTCCGATGCTGAGTTGCATGAGAAGCCAAACCTGCGACAGTTAAGATCCTACTAAAAGTGCTGGCTTGCTGTGGTCGTGTCATTTGCATGGCTGCTGTTCCTTGTCTTCTGACCAAGACATTTGCCTTGGCTGACAAATGGGCAAAAATAGATTTGCTTCTGGAAAATACCGTAGCAGTTGTTCAGCACCTTTGTGTCCTGGAGCCTCTGCAGTGTGTTCCCAGACTACTTCTACCCACCTCACCTCAACTTCTTTGCTTTAATGTTCTCAAGGTATCTGAGTTCTTTTCCACCTAAAGAAAATGCTGCTGTCGTCCTCAGTGTCCTCCTTCAAACTCCCTCTAACTCCCATCTCCTTGGAACCGTTGATCCCAGGCAGTAACTCCTGTTTTGGATGTGGGAGGTTGGTGTGGGAAAGAAGATTCTTTGCAGCAGCAAGTGCTGACATCCTCTATTCATCTGCCTTCCCGGCTCCAGGCAAAATAGTAAAGTTCAAATTTGACTTCACAGTCTTCTTAACTACTGATCTTCCATTCGGTTCATGTCAGTAAACCTTTGCATGCCTGTTATATGCTGGGACAGGTGCTCATCCCTATATGATCAGCTACTCAGTGTGACTTTCTGGGCCTCAGTTCTCTCATCTGTAAAATGGGGATGATGATAGTTTCAGTCCCATTGGGTTCTTGTGAGGATTGCATGAATCAGTGTGTCTAAAGTGTTTAAAACAGTGCTTGCTTATACAGTAAATGCTCAACGAATGCTAGCTGTTCTTACAAAATTGCAGAAATTGACTGCACATTGACTCTGTCCAGGTGCTGTGCTCAGGCAGGGGTTACAGGGGTGAATAAGGATAAAGTGGCCCTAGCACTCTGGGAGACTGAGGCAGGAGGATTGCTTGAGGTCAGGAGTTCAAAACCAGCCTGAGCAAGAGAGAGACCCTGTCTCTACTAAAAATAGAAAAATTAGCCGGGCATGGTGGTGCTGCCTGTAGTCCCAGCTACTCGCAAGGCTGAGGCAGGAGGATCACTTGAGCCCAGGTGTTTGAGGTTGCTGTGAGCTAGGCCGATGCCACGGCACTCTAGCCCAGGTGACAGAGCAAGACTCTGTCTCAAAAAAAGGAAAATGTGTCGTGAAGAAGGCCATCATAAAGCGGGTGATACGGGCCCTTGAACTCTCCAGTGTGATCAGAGCCCATAAGATGAGGGAACGGTTAGTTCTGGGAGAGTGGGGGCCTTGAAGGATGAGCAGGGGTTGGCAGCATTGATGGTGGCATTTCAGGCAGAGGAAAAGTAAAGGGTTCTTTGTGGCCAGGGCACAGGGTGCTGTAGGAAGGAGTATCTGACACCCTCTCACTGCCCCGGGACTCCCCCAGGCCCTCCCCGTGGAAGGGCTGCTTGCTTTTCCCACCAGCTTGTTAGTTCCTGATTTAGCTTCATTTCCCTATTGCCTGTTATGGTACCCAGCACAGAATAGGAACTTACTAAATTTTCAGCCTTCTTATACTCCTATTTCCTCAGTTTGGCTGATTCTGTTAGATGTTAGACTCTTATTTCATTTAAATAATTCGCAGTAAGTTGTGGATGAGTATTTTAGTAAGGCAATATATTTGCATTTTGAGAGAAGGGTTTGCTGCTACCAGAGAATCTCTAATATAGCGTGATATGTGTGTGTGGGGGAGATAATTTTGACCTGGGATGTCTTTCTTGCCCCTTTCCAACCTCCTGGTATACATATCATTGACTTGCAGGGCCATTTGGAATAGGTTCAACTGTTCATTTGTTCATTCATTCATTCAATGAGTTTTGAGTGCCTCAATATTCTGAGATAACAGTAATAAATAAAAACAAGACCCCGTTCTCATGGTGTTTAGAAACTAGCCCAGTGCTTTCCAAACTTCACTGTGCCTACGAATCACTGGAAGATCTTGTTAAAATGCTGATCTTGATTAGACAGGCCCGAGAGTCTGTATTTCTAACAAGTGCTTGCCTGGTGCTCATGATGCGAGCTCATGGGGTCCCATTTTGAGGAGCAAGCGACAGTACAAATACTTGTAGGTCAGGTGGTAGTAATTTCTACAAAGTAAAATAGCGGGTAGCAAATAGCATGCTCATGCATGTGCTTGTCTATACGGGGTGGTGAGGGGAGGCCTGTACGATGAGATGGCATGTGAGTAGAGACCTAACAGTGTGTATCTGGGGGAAGAGTATTCCGGGATGAGGGAAAAGGAAGTGCAAAGGCCTTGCACAGAGATTGTGTTTGGGGTGGTTGAGGACCAGAAGGAATGCTCGTATAGAACTGAATGAGCAAAGGGGGAGTAGTGAGAAATGATGTGGAAGAGACGATAGGGGCTAGACTTGCCATGGTGATGACTTGGTATTTCATTAATATTTTTGAATGAGATGGTGTAAGCCATTGGAACACCCAATAAAGGGGTGACATAATCTGGCTTCGGTTTTAAAAGATCCACCCTGGTTGTCATGGGGAGAAAAGTCTGTAAGGTCAAGTGTGGAAACAAGCAGAACAGGTAGGAGGCTGTTGTTGAAATCCGGTCTGCAGATGAAGGTGGCTTAGACAGGTGGCAATAGGATGGGTGGTGAGAAGTAGACTTTGGACATCGTTTGAAGATAGAGCTAAGAGAATTATCTGGTGGATTGAAAGGGTAGGAAACAAAGAGAGGACCCAAAATTATTCCAAGGTTTTTGGCTCAAGCAACTGGAAAGATCAAGATGCCATTAATTGAGATGGGAAAGGTTGTAGGAAGCTCAGGTTTGGGGTATGTAATGCTTGAAGTATTTATTCAAGTG